AAATAAACTATCATGGAACAGAGGAAATCGAAAAGAATGTTATACTACTCTCAGTGAATAAGCCACTTAAGATTTCAGTGCAATAACCTTACAAGATGTGAAAAAAATGAACTATAAAATTAAATGCAAGCCCAACATCTGTCTCTCTAAAGTGTCTCAGGTTCTTAGCCTATGGTTGTCATAGGTAATTTTTTAGTGTTCACTGTGGTCCAGGCAAGATTGTTTTTGTGGTAAGGACTAGGATTCAGAACATCCCTGTGAACTTTGACTCAAAGTGGTCAGTAACATTCAATCCAGTAGAAAAAACCCCCTTTGTGTTATGATGCTCAGGAATGCAAAGCTCTGTTCCTTGAGGATTGTCCACAATATTTTGTGAAATCTCAAAGTTTTATGTGTGAATCTTGGAATGAAAGCACCTCACTGTGATTTCAAGTGAGAGTCAGGCCAGGTTAGTGCTGAGATACTGGGAAATATTGATCCAAGGAATAACATCTTAAATCAGCCTCCTACACCTCTTGCTGTGGCAGGGAACACTGTGCCAGATTGGACTTGTCTGCCTCAGAAAGCTCTGCTCTGCTTTGGTTCCTAAATTTTCCTTTTTTTATGGTGAGCAGGAGCCACTCTTTTCCTACAAAAGCCAACTTTTCAGCAGATGCCTCCCAAATTGCCATGAAATGTCCTTGCACCAAATGCAGAGCTCCTGCTTTTTTAGAAAGCCCTATCACCCAACACTTGCAGTCAGATCAGAGCAAAAACTTTTCACTCAAGGCACTGTGAGATTAATAGCAGAAAATAAGCCGTAGACAACAAATCACAAGTAATGCTCTGCCCACAAGTCTTTTCTTTAACTGTACAATGGTTTTATGTCTTTCTTGTTCTCAAAGCCTGAGGAAAACCAACAAATTGAAGCATCACCACTGCTCTTGATTTCTTGTATATTTGTCCTTTTTTTTCTTCTGTCCAACCTGTCCAATAGTAGGATGACTTTGAGTGAGGCTGTATGTTTATAAATTAATAACACCAGCCCTGTTTTGGCTTCTGCTGGGATAGTCTATAGGTTACATCTGAAAAAGGTTGATGTTTAAACCCTGAAGTGTCAGTGGTATTTAATATTTAATGTCACTGGTGTGTGATAACATGTCTGGGCTCCTGTGGTTGTAGCCTTGCCCACCCCAAATCCAGAACCCAAAAGGAAACAAATTTGAGCCAATGGTTAATTGATCTACCTATGAGTGTCAGTAGGATTTACTGCAGTTCCACCATGGGTACCAAAGAATCCCAGAATGGGTTGGGTTGGAAGAGACCTTAAAGATCAGCCAGTTCCACCCCCAACACCTTCCACTATCCCAGGGTGCTCCAAGCCCTGTCCAGCCTGGCCTTGGGCACTGCCAGGGGCAGCCACAGCTTCTCTGGGCACCCTGTGCCAGCCTGGACTCTGGGTATCACTACCAGTGGATCAGGATTTCCAAAAGAAATCATATTTTTTTTTTTTTTTTTTCTGATGATTTCTCACCAGATAAATTTCAGAGGCAGGACTACCTGGCCCTGTTTTAACAATTCCTCTGTCATGTGTAACACCAAGGCCGTACCACCTCCCCAGGGGTGGGGTGTGACCTTCCCCAGCCAAATGAAGAACTCCATTTTTCCACCAGTTCTGATGAATGATGGTAATTGAAGCTCTGGTTCAGCAGGTGTGGATTTACCAAGGGAGAGAAGACAGGAGGTGCAGCCTGCTTTGAGCAGCAGGAGTCTGGCACACTCCCTCTGTGTCCCTCATTCCACCTGCCTGTGTCTCTCTGACTTCTGGAGAAAACATAACTCTTCCTCCTCTGATTTTTTTTTCCCATAACTGATTCTGTGTGTTTCTAGGATTCCCAACTTTTGTGGCATGAGGTGAGAGTTAATTTAACCCACCACTCCTCAGTGCTTTTTTTCTAATACATTTCAAATTTTGGGGTTTATTTGCATTTTGGGTTATGCCTTTTAGCATAAGAGGACTCAGAGTAGATGGTAGAGCATCATGTCAAATTGCCATGACTTTTAAACACCAAACCTGAGAATATTCCAAATACAAAATTATCACTGGAACAGAATCCAGGAATTTCAGGAAGTAGAGGAATGGCATTTTTCCTGTCCAGCTGAATCCACCTTTATGAACTGAAATACTGAGAGATTTATAGAGCAATTATTTTGTTACTTCTACTCAGAGAATTCATTTGTTATGTGGGCAAACTGCAAAATGAAGTGTCTGTTTAAATGTAAAGTGATGAGCAGGGATCCTATTAATACCTGAAAAATTTCATTTCAAAATTGAGTTACTATAGTTGAAGAGCAAAAAGTACTATTTTAAGAGTCACTCATGCTGATTTATAAAATGTATTTTGAATTACCCACTGGAGTAATATAAGGCATGAAAAAGCACAATGTCTTAACTTCTTTTCAAACAGTGCCCCTAATCCTCTTTCTGTTCTAATATTAGCATGCATGAACCATCTCTGGGGCCTCATAATTAAGACAAGTTTGTCTATGCTACTTCAAAACCCAAATGTAGGCAGAATTTCTAAGGGTTTTTAAAGATAAAATTGTGCTCTAATTTTTGCCCCTTGGCAGATATTATTGCTGAGATGGAATAGTCTGCATAACTTTCAGTAACATTTCTGTGGAAGCTGAAAGAAATCCTGGTTGCTCTGCAGACTGAAAACATTTTGAAAGACAATAAATCAGTTTTTTGAGATTGAAAAGGCAATATGGAAGTGATGTTTACTTCTGCGTTGACTTTTCAAAGTCATTAGAGGTTAAAAGGGCCTACAGTCTTTCTCAAAAACATGTTGCAAAGTCTTCAGTCCATCCTTTTGCATTAAAATCTCTGCTAAATGAGCCCCTGGCTTTGTCTTAAATAGCATAGGTTAGAGGAAGCACGCAACAAAACAAAACAAAAACAAAAACAAAAACAAAAAAAAAGAGAGAATTTCTATTCCATATACGACTCCCTATGTCTTGAAGATCCAAATATCCCAATATTTGGTCCAGTATCCAGTTCTCTGAATACAGTTCAGTGGCTTTGTTTACTCAGTTTAATTTGGTTTCCTGAAGGTGCAGAAGCATTTGAGACATCAAATAACACATTTGAGACTTCAAATAATGCATTTGATACTTCTTCACAGGGCTGGCAAAATTAATTCAGAGTCTACACAAGAGGGCTGAGATATTTTCTAACATCCCAAACAGCACCAACCATTTCTTTATTGTGGGTTACATCTGAGGGATGTTTTACATCCTTGAGATCTAACTGGGGGACTGAGACATCCTTGAAATTCCCAAGGACTGAAAAAGATGAGATAAAGCAAGTGTAGACACTGACATGTAGTTTCTTTCTCAGAATTTCTTTGCCTTTGCAGATGAAGCTGTTTTGGGGTTGTGTAGGTTATTAAGAACATTAATTAAGAACATTAATGATAATTTAATGTTATTTAGAACATTAAGAACATCTCACAATCACAGGAGTGATGACACAGGACTACAGGGGACATGAAACCTGCTGGAGGGGGAGATGGAGGGCAAGCAAAATACATGGCAATAAATGGGACTAAATATCTGTGACTAAGAGGATGAATTTAGACCCTATTCAACAACTGCTGTCTAGAAATCCATTCAACTGTTTAAATGTACCCTTATCTGTGAGAGAAAAAAAATTCCTTAAGATTCCCAGTCAAGTCATTAATTTTTTCTCATTTCTTCATCTGTTAAAATGGAAGCAGCTCCTCAGTCTAAGGTGTGTGCAATATCCTTGGATAACACGTTAATAGAATTTTTCAATAATTCAGATTAAATTATAGCCAAGACTACCATTCTTTAAATAAATGTAGCAGCATTCACATTATTTGAGAAATCGCTTTGCCCAGGATTTTTCTCCTGGGAAGCTGAGAAGCCTCAGAGAAAAAGGAAAACAATTCTTACCTCTTTTGCTTCTCTGTTTTGCTCATGTGGAATGTGGTTGGAGATGTTTAACCAACAGGTCATTGTTTCACTGGGTTCTACTGTGACTTGTTTTGACTCTAAGCCTCAGAGAAAAAGGAAAACAATTCTTACCTCTTTTGCTTCTCTGTTTTGCTCATGTGGAATGTGGTTGGAGATTGTTTAACCAACAGGTGATTGTTTCACTGGGTTCCACTGTGACTTGTTTTGACTCTGTGACCAACCAGTGCCAAGCTGTGTCAGGACTCTGAAAAGAGTCAAGAGTTTTCATTATTATCTTTTTAGCCTTCTGTAAGTATCCCTTCTGTATTCTTTAATGTAGTATAGTATTAATATAATATAGTATCATAAAATAATAAACTAATCTTCTGAGAACATGGAATCAGATTCATCATTCCTTCCTTATCAGGGCTCCCTGCAAATACAGTAAAATGTATTTAATTTTAGTTTGTTTATGGAGAGGAAATATTTCTGTGGTCAGGCTGAATTTAAGAGAATTTGGAGAACTTGATGTGAATAATCCACAGCTCTTGGATTCATCCAATTTTGGCTAGTTGGTAAATAGATGAACTGTGTTCCAAAAACTGTGAACATTTAAGTTTTGTGGAAAATATAACTGCAGAGGAAAGAGGATAAAAATATTCGGATTGGAGAAGAGGTGCTGTATATGTTCTAGTTTTAAAAATGAAACCCAAGTTCAGCTGGAGTTTTCACATTCACAGGCCTCAAGATATAAACCATGAGGTACAAACTGGCTTTTCTCATTCTGATAATCACAGAAGTTCTTCTTTTCCTTTTTTTTAAATTTTTTTGTGGGGTTTTTTTTCCTTTTGCTTTTGATTGCTTGGGTTTTTTTTTCCTGTTTTGTTTGTTTTGGGAATTTTTGTGGGATTTTCTGTTGTTTTTTGGGCGGGTTGTTGTGGTTTTTTGTTTGTTTTTGTGGTTATGTTGGTTTTTGTTTGGTTGGTTTTTTTTAAATTATTGTTGGGGGTTTTTTTTCCCTTTTTTGTCTTTCTCTTGTCAAGGTTACGGGAATCCACCCAGAATGCAAAATATTCCAGCAGGTGGTCAAAGAGGAGGCTCTCTGCTTGGAACACAATGAATCTGCCTCACCTGATCTTAAAGGTAAAGGTCCTGATGGGTATCCTCTGGCTTGGAATGTCTCACTTTACTGAAGTATTCTTTATGTACATCCAAACCCCCAAAGAAACTCCTCCAGAAGGTACTAAAGACACTACTGAAATTGTATCACATTGGGAATCATTCAAATCTGGTGAAAATATTCTTTGGGGTGCGTGGGGGGGTGGAATTTAAAAGAAAATCCCAAGTTCTTCAAAATATTACATTTTTACAATTTTAAACATTCTTTTTTTGCTTCTAAAGATTTACTGTGGTGGTGTTCAGAAGTCTATCACGTGATACAAATTTTGAAAAGTAAAGTGAACACTGAACAAAACTTGTAAAATATATCTAGAATGCTGTGTAAGGTGTTCCCTCCTGGGGTTTTGGAAAACATGCTTAGAAATAACTCAATATGGAATTTCAAAATGTTTGGACTCTTTCAAAAATTCAGCCATATTTTATTCTGGTCAGCTTTGCTTCGAAAAATTTGAATCCACCTCAGTGAGATTTTTCAGTTCCATGAATTTTAAGATGTTCATGGCAGAGGAATTGTGAGACAGAGATACTTTGTGCATTTCGTTAGGATGGAATTATTGGAAACACTTGGAAGTCTGCCTTCAGCAGCCTGGTGAAAATCAGAGTCTGACCCCAAAAGATTTCCTTTGTCTTTAATGTTATTCTGCAGAATTTCCAATCTCTCTCATGTTTCATGTTCCTCTTGTAGTTTCTTATTTTATTTTGGTGCTATTTCTTACACACACTTTAATAAAGGGGTTTTTTTTTTTACACTTTTGGACTTTAATTTGCATGCTTTTGGAGTTGAATAAAGTGCAAAATGCCTCTTGGACACATTTTGCACTTAGAACACACAGTAAGCCACCACAAATTCTGGTATAAATTAGGCATTTTCAAAAATTATTTGTTAGCTTCATTACAGGATGCCATTCCAGGCATCTTCCTCTTCAACACAAAAATAATAACATGGTTTTAGAATCCTGTTTGTAGCAAAAGAAATAAAAAATCTCTAAGAGTTCTGTTAACTTTTTAAAAATCTTCAACCTTGTCCTCTCTGAGCTTTTCAAAGCTCCCCTTTCCACCTTTTATTCTCCACTTAATGAAAAATCTGTTCTGGTGTTTACAGCCTTTCTCACTATAGTTTAGGATTAAATATTAGAGCTGGGAAAATTTGCAAAAATATTTTTGGCCCATTGGTAAATATGTGGAAATCCAAAAACTGTGAACATCATTTAAGTTTAATTTAAATTACATTTATCCCAAGTATTATATCCGGAGGATAAAGCTACACTAAGATAGGTAAAAGTCCATTGCTTGTGTTTCAGTTTTCAGGAACTCAGTGGGACAAACAGAGGGATCACAGTCTGTAGAGTCAAACCTCAGCAGTCACAGAGTCTGTGCTGGAATCAGTCTGTGTGGCAGAGATTTTACTGTGAAGTAGTTCCACATTATTCTTGTACAGATGCCAACAAATGCCACCAGCAGAACCCAGGGTGAAATTCCTCTAATTTTGGAGCAGATGTGTAAAATAGGTCAAATTAATCAAGTCCTAACTCCATTTTTTTTTCCTTCACTATCTAAAAATTCCTGGATTACTGAACAAGACTCAAATATCTATGGTGTCAACATTCATAGATACCATCTCTACTGCACTTTTCTTTGTGGTGTCTTGGGTGACTTGGACACCACCAGGCTCTTGAAAACCTTGGCATGAAAAATTCCCTTTCAGCCCCTGCCACCAGCAGTTTCTTTGCTATAAACTGTAGAAGTAAATCACTGGAAATAAATAATTTCTAAGACTTCAGACATGCAGGTTCTGTTCCTACACGAGGTCACACAAATAGAATTTTTAACTCCACATTGCCAAATAAAATAGATTTTTAGACCCAGTCCCTCAAATCTGACAGGCTTTTCTAAGAAGGACCATTTCAGCTGCTAAGTGTAAGTGTGGGGGCCACTGCATGTCTAAGTGGGGCTGATATTACCTGGCTTCATAAATTTGACAATTAGCAGCTGAGTTTAGGCTGTAATCATCAGTGAGAGCCAGGTATTTGCAGCGTGTGATTCATCCTGTCCTCAGGAAGAAGGCACCAATATTTGGGATGAATCAGCTCTGGAAGGCTGTGTCTCTTTCTGTTGATCCCAAAGGGAACATAACAGAGATTAGCTGACGTAATTAAAATTACAGCTAATGAATGAGGGCCTCTATTTTCCCTGGAAAATTGTGTATACCAGGAATTTCATCTTCCCGAGGGTGATGTGAGGATAATGCTGTGGGAGATTCTCAGGACTATCCTTTTGAAAGTCAGTCAGTGACTTTGCTCAGCTACAGGCAAGTATTGCTTCCACATTTCAATTTGACAACTTCAGATTTGCCTCATCATCCATCGCAGAGAAGAATCATGGAAGGAAATAACAGCTCCCAACCCAACCCCCTGCTTTATATCCCCCTTATGACTACCTAGAGATTAGTTTTGGTTAGAGCCTGATGCTTTTTTTTATTGTTTCAGGCACATTTACATGCTGGCAGTTTCTCTGAGCTGCCCCCACGCCCACTTGCCAACAGCTTGAAGTCTCAGTGTGATGCAGCTGTGACAAAGTTGTGATTCACTGAAACTTCTGAAAACCCTTTTTAGGGAGCTCAGAGCCAGCAGCACACCCTGTGTCATCAGCCAGCAGTCTCTGCTTTAGAGAACCTCTCGAATTTTACAGTCAGACCCACTCCCAGTGAGGGTCATTTATTATAATGCTGAGATGTTCTAGTTTGGGATGAATTTAATCCCTTGGGAAATCCAGCACAAAAATGCCATTGATTGCCTAAGACTGGGACTTCAGCCCTCATTTCCTTTAAACCAGGTGAAATTGGTAGATTTTTAAACATGAAATAAAGAGGTTAAGGCTGAGTTTTAAGTCTGGTGCATTTCAGTTAGACTCTGTAATGAGGAATCTCCTCAAGTGATGAGAAAGGAGCAATGAGAAATCTCAAGTGCTAATCATTATTCAATACTTTTATTTCAGTGGCTTTTGTTTTGACAACAGAAAAGAGCTCCAATTGATTTGACTCTTGGATTGTCTGCTTGAATTTCAGGTACATTCTCTCATGAGATAAGGAGGGGGAAGGTCCAGCTGGAATACCAAGTGTGCACAAGGATGCATTCAAGGAGAAAAGGAAAACACTCCTCTCCTTCATTTGCAGAGCTGCACGTCCTGCTGTGGCTCTTCTTGCATGTGAATGAGTGGGAAAGCCACAGACAATCTCATTATGGAAGATAAATGTGTGATGTTCTCTGAGATTTTCTTTATATAGAGGCAATTTTTTTTTTTTTACAGGATGTGCCAGAGATTGGGATGGTTTAACCTGCTGGCCCAGAGCCACTTTTGGGGAAGTGGTTAAAATTCCCTGCCCACGATTTTTTGAAGAATTCACCAGTACACACGGCAAGATTTTTTTTTCCCATTCTTCTTATCCCTATTTTTTTAAATTTTGTTTTAAATGAGTTCTAGTAGTTGAGGATTCCTTCATATTTTCCTGATTTACAATGCTCTTATCAGTCAGCATTCAGTAATTATCCAGATACACGTTGGCTTGGGGTCAATATTGACAATTTTGTGTTATGCTGTACTGAATTACTTAATCCCTTTGGTGATGTAAATACAATGGACAAGTGCACCATGCTGCTAAATTTATAAAGGGATATGTCCTAGAATCACTGATTTGTAAAACTGTACATAAATTAATATTAAAAAGAACATCCTAAGGTCAGCCAGTCCAATCCTCAAGTCAAAGCAGGACCAAGATTAAAACTTGGACTTATGAAACTTATAGGGACTTATAAAACTTTTCCAGCCTGGAAAGGATGGCTCAGGGCTTTACCAAAAATCCCAAAATATGTGTTAAAGATATAATTTGATTTCCTCTGTGGAAGGAATGAATTTACAGAGTTGATTTCCCATATGAAATGTACAAGTCCCACTGCATCTTGAAATGACTGGGAACATGTCCCTTAATTTTTTAAAGGATAGATACAGAGAATATTGTCGTTCTTATAGCTAATCTCTCTGAACATGACTCAACCTCTAAGTCCCTAACTTAGGAATCAAAGGGGTAATAAGAAATTGTTGGTACTCATCAAAACTTAAAGAACAGCAGCACCCCTAATTAATTCTCTGCCGTGTTTTCCCATTGAAGGTTTTCTCCAGAGGAACTGCACACAGGAGGAATATTGGTCAGAGCCATTCCCACCATACACCATTGCCTGTGGCTTTGATGAAGGTTCCAGTAAAGGACCTGAGGATCAGGTGGGACTTTCATTTCCTGCTTCTGAACATCTCCAGAGCAGCCTCTCCTGAGCAGCTGGATGCTCCACACATGTGAAAATTACCCATTTTCAGTGCTAAACCCAAAACTTTGAAGTATACTTAGAACTTGATTAACAAATTAGGCTCAACATAAAACAAGTGAGCAGCATTCAGCACTTTCCTCTTCATCCAAAGTCTCCTCTTGGTTAAACTCATGCTTAGTTCACCTGTCCAAACAGAGGTGATGTAAATCCTGATCATGAACACATCTCCCAGGGAAGCCCTACCCACCTGTCCTCAGAGATTTTTTTCAGGGAAAATTCCTTTGGATCCCTCCTATTTGTATTTTTTGCAGATTTTCTTTGAGTCATAGAAAAAAAAATATTTCTTAACTTTATAGCCTGGTAGGCAACACACATCCTTAGGGGGGAGCTCTTGGATGCCACTGAGTATTTCCCCACTTTATCTCAGGTATTCAGTGGAGCAGAAAGTGAATATTTTTCCTGTCTGACAATCATCATTTATGCTCAATTAAGATTCAGAATTTATTTTACATCCACATCTTGATATGATTTAAATTTCCACATTCCTCCTCATCCTACTGGAGTTCATATCTGGAGCTCAGTGACCTTCTATAAATAAGAATATTTGTGCTTTGCACTTTGGGGAAAGAGAAATGTTTTTAAAGCTTAAATAAATGCTTAGAAAATTTAAATAACTTCTTTAAAGCCTTTTAGAAAGATGCTAGAAATAATCTGAACAGTTCAGAGGGATGTAGGATTGATAAAAGGAGGTGTATTCTGGAGCACGCATCCAGGTGGCTTTTTCCAAGCAGTCCCTGGTTTGTGCTAAGCCAGGCATAATTTCTAGCTGGTCTAGGCTAAAATCAAGCCAGGAGCTATATTTATATTTCACAATGATAGCAGATTTCTGCACAGAGCTGCTGTCTGTGCTCTGCCTGTGTTTAGCTTATTATTCCAGTCAAATCCACAGTGTTTGACTACAAAAGGAAGATAAAATCAGCAATCTCTGCTGCACTGCACACGTAAGCAAGTGAGTAAAAATCTCAATTGTGTCCTAATAGAACCACTTGCTTTGTATTTTGTATGTGCAGTGAGCACTTATGATATCTTTTGTGCTTAGTGTTGTTTCTTAATCCATCCTACAAAACCAGATAAAATAATTGAAACACTTGATTATTAAATTAAATAACAATAACCACTTTTCTAATTTTCATCTGTGTTTTGAAAATACTGTATAAAAGATCAGGACTCTTTCAAAAACACAGAATGATTCCTGTCATGTCAGGGTTACAAGATCTCTTTATAGATCTATTTAAAATAGCTAATTTGTTGTCTCAGCCTAGAATTGCAGCCTTTTGTATAAACAGATTTGGAATCAATTACAGAACAAAGTGTCCACTGGCTTTATAAGGAGGAAATTTGCCTGGGTCCAGAGAATTTAGTGTCTTGGGATTTTAAATAATTAGGTGGACTTGTAGTGAATCAGAATAAAATTTGCATAGTTAAAACCAAGTAAACAAGCTTTATTTTTTTAGGACATAGGATTAGGATTTTTTAGGATGTAAGTCTTAATTGAAAACAAGTGAATTATAAAGAATTTACAGTGCTACAATACACAGCAAGGAATGAACTGTTTGTCCAGAGAATTAAGGATTGTGAGGTGATTTCCTTGACCTTCACAACCTGATGTAACTCTTTATCAATGTTTCAGCTTTCTTACCTGCAAATTGAGAGTTTTATTTCTCTTTCAGCTACAGCTGTTTATGAAAATCAATGCTTATTGAATTTGGCCCAGGTCTAAAGTAACAGCTTCACAAATCTCCCACCAGAACGTTTCAGTGCTCCTGAATTTTTATATACTGACATGAGAAAAGGTGGTTACACATCACAGTTAATATTTTCCAACAGAACTTGCTCAGAGGGGTCAGATGAGCCTGTGGTGTGTGAAACGTCTCTCCTGTGTAGGGTTAAGGAAGACTTTTTTTAATGGTGGAGGGAAAATCCTGAAACAGATCTCGAGCGTGAAAAACAGCACAGAGATTGTGGGACTGACCAGTGAGGGAAATGTGTCCCAGTGGAATGAGCACCCCAGGATGCATCCAGCACAACCACCTGCATTGGGCTGTGTCTCTTTTTCCAACAGAAATCCTATTATTCTGCATTTTGGCGTGTCTACACTGCTGGCTATGCAGCATCCGTGACTTCACTCATTACAGCTCTAATTGTCTTTGCTGCCTTCAGGTAAATATAAATGGGCTTTTTCTCAGCATGCCTTAAGACAGTTTCTCTCAGATCCTCTGTGCTTTTGTTTTGTGGAATTTTTTATGGTTGTTTTCTAATTATTCTAAGACATAACTCCTTTGATGCTGGTGGGTCCTTCTCTACTCGTGCTGCAGTGTTTCCCTGCAGATGTTAAAACAAGCTGAGCAGTCTCTGTTAATCTCCTTGATGACACCATACAGTGGAAATGCCCTAACTGTAGATAATTTTAAACATTTTTTTAATTATTCCTACAGTGCACGGCAGGACAGACTCTGCATAAACATTGTCCCATGTCCCAGAACCAGAGTTTTCCTAAATTGCCCATTCACTCTGTGAAAGGCCATTGCTTCCATAACTGAGAGCTATAAAAGTGAGATTTAATTAAATTTCAATGCCTCATTTGATGATGTTGGTTATTAGGAGGTGGATCTGGGTTTGGTTGAGGCAGAGCACAGAGCAGCTCCCTGACTGGAGTGGGTTGGCAGTCTCGTGGTCCTTACAGAGGGACCCAGGAGCACGAGGCTGATGTGTCCAAACCTTGAGGGGGATTCCTTCAGCTAAAATGTGCACAGGACAGTCTAGAAAAGGGGATCACAGAAATATTGGGCTATAGGAATATAAGATCAAGTCCAACCATGAACCCAGCACTGCCAAGTCCATCCCTAACCCAGGCCCCCAAGCACCTCAGCTATGTGTGTTTTAAATTCCCAGAGAGTTGGGGACTCAGCTGATGCCTTGTGAGGCTCCCTGGAAGAGATAAAAAATGAAGTAGGGATTTATTAAAAGGCCTTCAAAGGATACAGGACAAGAGCCTGGCCATGGCTGGACCCAAGATGGATGCTGGGTCACAAGTTTGCACACTTTTACAAGTTTTGGTCCACTTCCATATTGGAGTTAATTATCCAATTACAGCTCCAGGTTATGCAGTCCCATCCTCCCAGTTTGCTCTCCTCAATTCTCCATTGTTCACACTTTTTGGGCCTGAAGATGTAGTGGTGTCCTTGGTTCTCCTTGGAAAAGGATTGTTTTGTCTGACTGAACTGTGAGGAGAACTTGCTAACACTTTATGTGAAATTCAGAGTTATATATACCAATGCAGTACAGAATCTGCAAAATATGAAAGCCAAAACTTTAGGCACCAAAACACTTTCCTGGGCAGCTTGTGCCAGTATTGACAACCCTTTCCATAAAGACATTTTCCCTAATATCCAATGTCAACCTCCTCTGCCACAACCTGGGGTTTTCTCCTCTTGTCCTGTCCTTGTTACCTGGGGGAAGAGCCTAGCTCTGGCTGTCCCCTCCTGTCAGAGAGTTGTGGAGACCAAGAAGGTCCCCCCTGAGCCTCCTTTTCTCCAGGCTGAGCCCTTTTCCAGCTCCCTCAGCTGCTTCTCATCAGATTAAAGCAGTTTAGGGCAACTGCTCTGGAGCCATCCCATACCATGTGACTGACACTGATTCAGTCCTTTCTTTGACCCAAAAGGGGCTGAAAAGCCTGATGCAAGCTTCTTCAACAAAAAAAGCTTTCAAAAATAATTAAGAGGTATTATCATAATCGAGCCCAAGACTCCCACGGTTACTCTCTGCTTCTGGCATCTCCTTTAAATGTGTGGTGATCCAAGGACAATTAACCTGGAATTTTTATTAGCTGAAAAAGGTAACAGCTTCTCTGCTCCCTCCTGTCTCGCTGCCTCTCAAATAGTAACAGATCATTTATTGCTTTGCAAGGTGTCTGCAGTCTTGTGTGTCCCTGTTTGACTTTTGATGAGACTCTGAGAAACTTCTCTTAAAGAACAATTTTTTATTTTCTCTTTCCATGCCAGAAAATTCCACTGCACACGGAATTACATCCACATGCACCTGTTTGTCTCCTTTATCTTGAGAGCAGTTGCTGTTTTCACCAAAGATGCTGTTTTGTTTGCAGATGAAACTATGGACCACTGCCTCATGTCAACGGTACTGAACTTTCCCTGGCTCTCACCCTTGAGTGAGCATTTAATTCTTTCCCTGAAGGCAACAGGGAGATATTTGCATCCTATTATTCCTATTGCTAAAACTGAAATCTTGAAACAAACAGTATTATGCAAACCCATAAACCAAATGCTAAGGCTGCACTCAACTTTGATATTTAGGTCTGTTGACTCTAATGCAGCTCTAATAATTTCTACCAGTAAAGAATTTAATCTGTGAGATAAAAACCCCAGTATTTCCCTTTTGAAAATCTAAAATAAAGTTAATTTAAATTATGAAAACCTAAACGTACAGAAATTTTGTTATTTCTTCATTCTTGTGTGGCAACATTGAATTTTGCCTACAGTTCTATAGAAACCAGCCATAACAAGACCTAAAAGGTTTTTCTTCCTCTGCGCTTCCAGGTTGCTTGTAAGGCTGCTGTGGCCTTCTTTCAGTTCAGTATTTTAGCCAATTTCTTCTGGCTTCTCATAGAAGGGATCTACCTGCAAACCCTGCTGCTGCTGACCTTTGTTTCCAACAAGAAGTTTGTGTGGTGGTTCATATTTACTGGCTGGGGTTAGTACTCCCTTCCTCTTCGTGCCCTTCAGTATTTCTTCTTGCTTGCAGATCTGGATGAAATCTGTGTTTTGAGGTAAAAGGAGCCTGTCAAAGGTGACACTTTTCTGAGGGAAGTTGCCCGTTCATCCAGTACTGCTGCATCATTGCATTCGCTTTTATATCTCAGTTATTTGCACCATGGTGGTGAATAATCCAGGCCTCAAGAGGATGAGTGATATGGCTGGATAATATCCAAAAATATGTTGAATTTCTCCACTGACTAAAGAAGTTTGGGTGACTAAGTTGCCTTTTGTTTTTAGCAAGCAGAATTTGATAGATTAATCTTAAATCGTGTCAGTCCAGGCCTAGGAATCAAACAATTATATATTTATTTTATTTTCAGAGATCTCCTGACTTTAAGGAATCTTTTGAGGTGATACAGCAATTGAAGTTATCTCTGATACTCAGAATAGGAATGTGAAATAAATAGGATTTCTTTCACTGCCCAGAATTGTTGATTATGACTCTCAGATATTCCCATGTCTCACCTTGGCTGGTCTAAAATGCAGACACCCAAACTGAGTAGTTACAATGACATTTTTTGACTTGGAAGTGAAATTCAAATTACCCTGAATAAATATTAATTTATCCTTCATCTTCAGATTTTTAGACTTTATTTAATGCAATTGAATTTTTTTGGAGCTATTCCAAATAGGGTTGTCTGAAAGTAGAACTCTCAGACCTTGATTAATCACGGCCAACTTGAGATAAGAAAGCAAACAACTCAATTAATAATGTGGTAATCCTCATCTCCTTCTGCAATCAGTGGGAGGTGAGAGATACCTCAGGGCTAACTCTCATCTTAGGTGATGTGGAGGGAAATATTTATTTTCATTAATTAAAAAGCCAACTTGAATTTAACAAGGTCCCAGCTTAAAGGAGTTGAGCAAAGGGCAAAAATTTGGAAGGACAAATTCTGAACCCTTCCCACACATCTCAAATGATACTCGAAAGAAATTCCCTATATTTCTATAGAATAATAACTGAAAATGTCACCTGTTTCACATTAGAGTCCCTTTTGTAGCTGCTTTGAAAGTCACTTAGTCTTTGGAAATTCAATTCCACATGAGGAAAAAAAAGCAATTTCTGCTTTATAGGCCTTAAAAAACCCCAGTCAAAAATGTAGAAGGACAGAAGGATAAGCAGTGATAAAGCAAGGCTAGAAATCATTGAAATCAGGTAAATTTTCGTGGAATTCTTATCAACTGATTGGTCTGGGGTGATTAGAGTCTTGAGGAAAAAATTATGAACTTTTCCAGCTGCTGTGCAAAGGGTGTTTGTTGGCCACAATCCACAAGATAAAAGACCCCATCTAAAAAAATGCTTACTCCAGCTTCATAAGTGCTTGTAATTCCTATCCCAAACTTCAAGGAATTCTTTACATTTATTTCTGAAAACATAGTTTCACAACATCGCCTGTTCTCCTTTGTTATGATTTCATTCTCCTGCCCTTTTATTCCTTTCTCTTTTTTTTCCTTTCCCTGAACTGCAAATTAAATTCTTTCATAAAGTTATTGAAAATTGTCTGACCCATAAATTGACCTTTAATCCAACCTGCTGCACTGTGAACCTACTGGAGTAAAGATTCCATGGGACAGGATATTCAAACCAATTCTTGTGTTCCTCTTGATTTGCTCAGGAGCTCCCACTGCTGTGATGTTTGCTTGGGTCCTCACACGAATCCATCAACAGAACACTGGGTAAGTCAGAGCTGGCACAAAGAACACCAAAATTCCTATTTTTTAGGATGTTCTGTTTTTCTGAGGGGAAAAAAAAATGTGTACAGGAAAAGATAAGGGAAAAAACTCTCTTGATTCAAAGTTCTACCTCTAATTTTTACAGCTTGTACATAAGTGAGAAAATACTTTACAGTCTTGTGATTTTTATGTCCATACATAAAAGAAAAGAAAACCTGATAATATCATATTAACTATTGAAATTTCATTTAAGTTCCCTAATTCCAGTCCTTGAAATAATTGTATTTCACAAAGATTGCTGTTTCTGTATAAATTCAACCATAAATAACTAACCCTAATCTCTTCAAATGAGAACTTTCCAAACAATCAACATTGACTCCAGTAATTTCTTTTGTTTCCATTAAATTATTTTATTTTAATTTTATCTGTATCTTTTAACATGAGCTCCTGATAGAAATATTGTTTGCTGTAAGCTATTCTGAAGGCTTTCAGATCATTTCACATCAGCCTGAAAATATACTATTTTATACCCACCTGCTCAGAACTCAGGAAACTAAAATAAGAAGTTGAGTTGAGAGTGGTAAGAAGAGCAGGAAAGAAGCCTGAAAATATAAATGTGGGGTTTTTTACTTTGCTTTAGTTCTTCAGTCGGTGATTCTTGCTGATTAAATTTTCTTTTGTTTCAACTACAGGGAAACCAGGGACATTTAGACAGTGATATAAACTTAGTGTACACCACTTTCCTTTCCTGTGGCAGAAGTGCTTTTGTGTGTTATGGGGAGCTCCCATGGGACAGATGAATAACCTGATTTTGTTTGTTGTTCCAGATGTTGGGACGATGATGAAAATGGAGTGGTGTTATGGATCATCAAAGGCCCAATCCTGCTGACTGTATTAGTAAGTTTTTATTTTCCCTCGAGTTTCTGCACATAGATAATTTTATCTAGTGCGTTTTTAAAATGAGTTCTTATGATTGTAATGTAAGACAAAAAATTCTCCCTTATCCACAAATTTATAGGGAGGAGCAATCTGGTTTTTAAGTCTGTATCTGATATAATCCCTATCATAAATAATGACAAGAACAGGGGGTGTTATTTTAGACTTTTTAAAATCTAAATTTAAAATCTATATTTAAAGTTCTGACCAGAAGCACAAGGCATTAATATCAGCCATAAAATGATATTAAGATGGTTCACAATAATTCAACGTGACTGTCACCATATTTTATGTACAACTGTATTTTGGTGGGAAATATAATTATTATTTCTAAAGCTATTGATCTGAGCTGAGAAGGGATGAGCATTGGTTTATAGCAATGCAGCTCCTAAAAGTGGGGATTTTTAGTTATTTGTATCACCTGGAGGCATGTCCTGGATTGTAGTAAATTTAAAGACTCTGTCTTGTCTTTACAGATTAACTTTATTATATTCATTAATGTGATCAGGATTCTAGTCCATAAATTGAAATCCCAGGAGGGAGGAGGGAGCCATTCAAGCCACTTTGTGTAAGTATTTCTGGGTCTCTTAGGACTGACCTATTCTAACTGCTGTAAGAAATTTGTTATGAGCAGGAGAACAGAATGTTCTACTCCCCTTCTAATAGAAATAGAAAAAATGACAATGTGAACTTTCTTTTTCATCCCAAATATCACATCTCCTTTTTATTTCAGGGCAAAAAGGGTGGGGTGCATATGTCAGAGAAAAAGAGAAAAGTAAAATAATAAAGTATGAAACTTCAAAAGCTTGAAAGTGTAAACACCAAATGTCAGGTGATGAATCCATCTCACTCCCAGTCCTTTCCACACAAATGGCCACATAAAGAAAGATTCAGTAAGAGGGTAAATTCTTTGCAGTAACAGGATAAATCTGTAACCAAGCCTGGTGCTGGCTGCTTACCAACCCCTCACAACAGCTGGGGATCCCATCAGTGCAGTCACAGGACCTTTTCATAACTTCTCCAAATGGATGCAGCTGCCTCCATTTGGAGCTGTCCTCTGAATTTTAAAATCTTCCTATATATAATTTCTGTTCCTTATTCCCTGTTTCTAACAGTGCATTGTTCTTCAATTCTTGCTTTTTCAGGAGACTTGCAAAGTCCACGTTACTTTTGATCCCCCTCTTTGGGGTGCACTACATTGTGTTTGCATTTTTCCCAGAGAGCACGGGTCTGGAGGCTCGGCTTTACATCGAGCTGGGCCTGGGCTCATTTCAGGTAAGATGGACAAAAGTGTAACAGCCTGAGATGTTTTGTCTGTACCACCACACTTCAGGCTGGTTGTTAGAGCAGGATTTATTAATGCATCCAAATTCAATGCACACATCCCATCTCACTCCTTCACGAGCTCTTCTGTTGCTTGCTCCCTTATTATTTGAAATCTCTGGGTCAGACTTTGTATGAATAATCACCAAATAAATAAAACATCTATGTTTATTGAATAACAATGCTGGAACACCATGAAGACCAGTCTGTGGATTAAGGTGAACTGATTGAAAATGATTTCACATGTAATAACGATAAGAGGGGTGGTAAATAAGAGCACATAACCACCTGCTCTGCCCTTACCCTTCAGGAGGAGTGAACCATGTTAATATCTCATTGTTTATTTTGCTGTTCCACTACTCAGAACATGTATTTGAGAGGGTCAGGGCCCATGTCTGGTACATTTTGTACTGAACAGCTGATTTATTTTCCCATCCTCTTTCTCCTGTACCCCACCACAACTTGTCCACATTGACATATGTTGCAAATGATGCCTCTTCCATGCTTGCCTTATCTGAGGGAGAATTGGTTTGTAGGATACAGTGAACAGCAAGTTTTTGTCTCTGTACAAGGGCAATAATAAATATAAAATGTCACCAGTCCACTGAGAAATATAATTCTATTATGAAAACTCATTAAATAGTGTCACACTGTCTGAACTCCAGTAGAAAACTGGGAAATATGCATTCTTTGTTGTCTTACACACACTGAGAATGAAACTTGGTGTCTGTTATTGATTCCAGATTTTAAATCCATGTTTTTCTCTCCCTACCCTGCCTGTCCTAGGGTTTTGTTGTTGCTCTCCTATATTGCTTCTCAAATGCAGAGGTGAGTAGCAAGTACATGAGATTATCAAGTCCTTTAAAACTCACAGTTCCCTCTCATTTTTAAATTTCTTTTCCTATTTTCAGAACAGATCTAACTTTGATCTGCTCCTGAAACCATGACATCCCCATATCTTTTTTGTCCCTTGGTAGCTTTGTTGACCTTATTTGTATTCATACAGTTCTGGCAGGAGGACACAAAATAAACTTTGAAGCAGTGACCCTTTAAAAATGGTTGCTGAGTTTCCTGTCAGGGCACTTTTCTCCTGATTTATGTTTGACATCTATCACGATGATAGCTCAATGGAAAGCTTGTAGAGCTTCTTATTTTCTCTAGGTTTATTTTCTCCTGGTGACTTTCTTCATTTCCCCTTTCCCTTTCTTTCCCCCTTTTCTCTTTCCTTTCTCCTTTCCTCTTTCTTTTTCCCCTTCTCCCTTTATTTTTTCTCCTTTCTCTTTCCTCATTTTCCTTTTCCCTTTCCATTTTCCCCTTTCCCTTTCCCAGGTCTGGTCATGCAATCAGGACTTTTGTTCAAATACTTTATTTCCTGTTTTTATAACAATGGTAGAATTTGGGTAAACTCCCTGCAGTTAAATGTAGTGAGTCTATAATTTAAAAATCTCACTAAATTTGCTGGCACTTTCCCTCAAAGGAACAGAACAAATCAAAACTGATGAGAAAATATAAAACTGCATCTCATCCTCAGAAAAGTGAATAAATTAGTTGAGAATGACACACTAATGGTGCCTCGGTCTTTGCAGTGACTTAAACTTGGAGAATTCTCATAGAGCATGGAATTATGAATGTTGGAAAAGCCCTCCAAGATTGTCAAGTCCAAGCTGTGCCCAATGCCCACCTTGTCCCCAGCCCAGAGCACTGAGTGCCACCTCCAGATCTTCCTTGGTCACCTCCAGGGATGGGGACTCCAAACCTCCTTGGGCAGCCCCTGCCTTGGTCTGAGCACCCTTTCCTTGGGGAAATTCCTCCTGGTGTCCAACCTGAGCCTCCCCTGGAACAACTTGAGGCTGTTCCCTCTCCTCCTGTCCCTGTTCCCTGGGAGAAGAGGCCAACTCCCACCCACAACCTTATTTCAGGGAGTTGTGGAGACCAAGAGGGTCCCCCCTGAGCTTCCTTTTCTCCAGGCTGAGCCCCTCAGCTGCTCCTCATGGGATTTACTCCCCAATCCCTCCACTGCCCCTCAGTGGACACACTCCAGCACCTCACAGGAATGGCTAAAATGAGGTGCAAGGTGCAAGTAACCCTACCCAAGGATGAATAATTCCTAAAATACGTTTGTTACTTAGAAAAACAATTTATAATAGCCATTCTGAGAGAGTGCCTTCAAGACTCAGCTGTGAATACAGAAAGCTTTCCTTGCAACCTGCCTTCTGTATCACAGAGTCCTTCCCAGCAGCCTTTTATTAGCTTCAACAGCCTTTTAATAGCTTGCATATTGTACCCCACAACACAGAAATCCAGTAGGTGTTAAAAACAGGACAGGCAGAGCCTGATCTCTGGCCCCAAGATGAAGCTGGGTTGGCTTTTTTCCACGTTTCTTAGGGATAACTGCTCCTGGAGCAGCTTGGCCACTCATTACCACTTGGCAGTGCATCTGTTGTGGTTCCTTGCACTCATAAAAACTAATAATTATTTTCTCTGTGTGTGTGTTTCTTCAGTTTTGAGTATCTGTGACAATGTGAGAGACTGTGCTGCTGCCAGGCAAGGTGTAATGAATATGGATGAAACTGAGGAGTGCTGGAGGGCCTTGAGTTTGCTGGGATAGAGCTGGGATACTGCATTGGTGGAGGAAATGATGCAACTGGAACTGCATTCTTTTACCACTTACCAGCTATAAACGTTCATACATTTTCAGTATCTGCACACAACACGCCACAGCAGATCAACATTTCATGAATGTTCAATAATTATACAGTAAATACTTCCATTTTCAAGGTTTTTGTTTTCTTATCTTTGAAAATGTTTACAAATTCTTTGATGGATTCCTATAACTGTCACAGCCTTTAGTCTCTATTTCTACTTCAACAGGACCAGCATTTGATCCTGAAACCAAACCATTCATATTGCTTTACTTCTGACCAGACTTTTTCCTCAAAAAAAACAAAATTGGTTCCAAAAAGCCTTTCGCCATGAACACAAGCCACTCTCAGCATTTTCTGTTCTGTGATCCACTTTGAAAACTTATAACCTGACTATAAATCATATAAAAAATACAGGGTAGAAATTATAATTTTCAAAAGACATATTGTGGGATTGCACCTACACAAAACTTTCAAATTACATTTCTGAAATAGATGACCTTTGATAACCTCTTATTTGTTCGATTCTTGGAAGGTGCAGAGATCCATCATGAAGTTGTACTCAGGGGTTGTCAGCGTGTCTTGTGGTTAACAGGGAAAATTAAGGCAGAATAGGTGCCACAAAAATGATAAATATTTCCAGTGACCTGCCCTGATGCCAAATGTACTTCTGCATGCCATCATCTGATTTTTTGAAATTAAATCTGTTTATTTTCAAAATGAATAAAGACAGAATTCAAGCTCTTCTAAAAATGTGTTAAGGCTTAATCCTGGCTTATCTGGGCTAAGTACTCAGGCAGACCTTTGGGCATGTTTTACCTCTGGTGTTCATTAAGCCTTAATTTTCTCTTTGTTTGTAACTTCCTGTAGGTTCAAACTGAGCTGAAGAAACAACTGTGCAAGTGGCAGTACCAGGAGTACCTGACCTTCACCCACAAGCAGGGGGCTTTGTCCAGGGAAACCAGCCCAGTCAACTACGTCACTCAGCTCTCCCTGCTGGACAAAATCAGCCCCAAAAGGAGAACCTCTGTGCTCCAGGATGGTGTCACCACTGTCTGAGGGGCTCCAGCAGGACCAGCTGCTGTCACACTGCAATGTTCCACCCATGAGGTGGCCAGCTGGGTCCTTCATGGCTTTCCATAGTGTTAGGAGCTATCACCCCTAATAAATGAAGGGATGGGACTATTTGTGGGCTAAGAACAATTTATTGTAGCAGGACCAGCTGCTGTCACACTGCAATGTTCCACCCATGAGGTGGCCAGCTGGGTCCTTCATGGCTTTCCATAGTGTTAGGAGCTATCACCCCTAATAAATGAAGGGATGGGACTAAGAACATTATTTTTGGGCTAAGAATATTTTATTGCTCAGATGAACATCAGTCTCAGAGGCTGTGAGATTTTAGAGGAGCAAGCAGTTGGCCATAGTTCAAAGTAGTCACAAGTTTTTTGTTACAAGACAATACAGAACTTCCTAATCCCATAGACAGTTGTTAGAAGGTTTATTTTGCTTTTCTGACCTACCACCTTTACTTAATTTTGCTGCACTGCAGATACTTTCATCCAATGGGCTTCTGTCACACTTGCAAACATCAGCTTCTATTACAACCTCTAAACTCTTAGTTTATCCTCTACCACCACAGTCCTACATTATAAACCCTTCGCCATCTTATTAATACAGTTTTTTACTTACTTAAGGCATATTCTTATTTACAGCTACAGAAACATAAGTTTATGATTTTTCTACTTAATGTCTCCCGCCATCTTATTAATAGAGTTTTTTACTTACTTAAGGCATATTCTTATTTACAGCTACAGAAACATAAGATTTTTCTGCTTAGTGTCTCTCTACTTTATTTTTACATCAATCCAAGCTCCTTCCAAGGATGCAGATTAAACCCTCCTGGCTCTGTGGAAGTTTCTATCTTTCTGTTTCCCACAAGGAGCCTCCTGTAAATGCCATGTCCTAAAAAGGAGCTGCTTTTCTCACCATGCAGAGATCTGCATCACAACCCTGCTTCTCTCTCTCCTGAAGCATAAAACACCTTTGTTTTGTTGTGAAAAGTCAGACTTTGAGCTAGAGTGAATCAACAGATTAGCAAAAAAAAAAAAAAAAAACCCAAAACAAACAACAAAAAATAAAAAATCAAACCCACAAAAAAAAAAAAAACCAAAAACAAACAACAAAAAATAAAAAAACAAAACCCCCAAAAAAAAAAAAAAAAACCCAAAACAAACAACAAAAAATAAAAAAACAAAACCCCCAAAAAAAAAAAAAAAAACCCAAAACAAACAACAAAAAATAAAAAAACAAAACCCCCAAAAAAAAAAAAAAAAACCCAAAACAAACAACAAAAAATAAAAAAACAAAACCCCCAAAAAAAAAAAAAAAAACCCAAAACAAACAACAAAAAATAAAAAAACAAAACCCCCAAAAAAAAAAAAAAAAACCCAAAACAAACAACAAAAAATAAAAAATCAAGCCCACAAAAACAGCAGAAACCAACCAAACAAAACAAAAAACAATAAAAATCAACCAAAAAACCCCCAAAACAAACAAAAAACCCCCTCCAAACCATTAACTCCTCCCAGGCCCTGAATGTTTGTCCTATCTTTGTTAGCATTTCCCAAAATTTCCAGTTTCCAAGCCCACAATTCCTAGCCATCATTTGAAAGGGTTACTTGCTGGCCATGCCTTGCTGTAATGATTTCTGATGTTTTACTACTGGTTTTGAGATGTCTTCAGATGATCTAATGGAAATTAAGCACAGAAACCCGAAAAGCACTTACCTATAGAACAGTAATCTGCTTTAAAAGGAAACTCAAAGGGTCTTCAGTGACACGAAAAACTGACACAAAACACCTGCTTGATTTGTTTTTTTCTTCTAAGCCTGTTGAACAGAGATTAAATTAGGCCAGAAGATCCCAAACCGTTTCTTGTCCAAAGAAAAATATGGAGCAGCCAAATACTTGGCTGAAGTATGGGGGATATATATATACTTGGAGAAGATGTGGGAAGGAATAAATCAAAGCAAACCCAATGCCAGGTGCCAGCTGGGCTACCTTGTGCTCAGAATGACTTACAGACCCAATCTTAGTGCCCAGATGTTGGTTTTTCTGTGGGACAGACTTCAAAACCTTGAAGATCAATCAGTGAGACATCTAAATAAAGGGTAATTTTGTGCTTTTTGAGGACCTGCCTTTGAGGACTGAAGTCTCAGTCCCACCCAGCGTTTCTCAGCTCATTGTCACCACACCCAGTGAAGTGACAGAACTGAACAATGAATGATCTGCTCATTGCAGCCCCAACACACAAAGAAACGCAAGAGGCTCCTGACAGATGATTGCAGAAGTTGAAAATGCAGGAAGTCTCTACATCAGAAGTCCAAGAAATATCACCTTGGAAATACTTGGGATGGAGAATCACAGAGCAAACAATTGGGCCACAGAATAAACAACTCAGAACCAATGTCAACAATTTCCAGGATTTACAGTGGCTTTTAGGAGAAATCTGCTGCTTCAAGCCAATTTTGGGCAAGTTCACCAGTGATGAACTTGCACGACTTTTCAACTTATTGAGAGGAGACTGCAACATTGAATCACGCATAACCCTCACAGCTGAGGCCCTTCAACAAACGAGCAAACAATTGGGCCACAGAATAAACAACTCAGAACCAATGTCAACAATTTCCAGGACTTACAGCAGATTTTAAGAGAAATTGAGTGGATTGGATCAGGCCAGTTTTGGGGATCACAAATGATGAACTTGCACCACTTTTCAACTTATTGAGAGGAGACTGCAAGATTAAATCGCCCACAACCCTCACAGCTGAGGCCCTTCAATTCAACAAAGACAAGCACATGGTTATGCAATGTCACAACCATTTCTTCCTGCAGTGTTAGGAGAAAAAATGCAATTGTATGGCCTCATATTTCAATGGGACACCTCAAAGAGAGATCCTTTTCTTATAGTCAGATGGATTTTCTTATCCTACAGATCTTCAAAACCAATTTTTACAAGGTTAGAGATGACAGCTCAGATCATAATCAGAGCCAGAGTGAGATTGCTGACAATGGCAGGTAAATATTCCACCTTTGGTTCAGGGATCAGGATGAACACCCAGCTGTGAGGGCTGGAGAAGCAGAGAGAGCCAGAGCTGTGCTTGCACCATTCTTTGGGTGACCTTCCTCTTTCTTCAGGGCTGAGCTGAACTCCACCTCAACTTCTCCAAAAGCAAAGAAAAGGCACAGGAGGAGCATGGGATGGGTCAAGACAGCAGCATTCCCAAGAGAACCTGCAGCAGGCTTGGAGAACACAGCCATGCATTCACTCTCTGATTTCCAGTATCAATTCAGCTTTAAAAAAAACCAGTATTCCAGTCCCTCAGTTTGCTCTGCTCTTGGGTAATTATTTAGGTCAGGAAACATTTGACTCCAGGAAATCTCTTTGCTGATTTTAGATGCTTCATCTCTAGTTCTATTAGAGCAGAGGTGAATTGTCCAGGCTTCTGTAAACATGATTCTAATAAGTTATTTATTAATTAGGCATTCAACCCATCTGTCACAATGTCATATGGTTGTTGTAAGGAATAATTTTGTCTATTCTGACTTTCTTATCAGCTTTGCTTGTAAAAGTAACCTCTGTTCCTGTGTTTTGTTGCTGAGCATAGTAATGAGAATTTGTATACAAAATGTATGATGTACATCTATAAAATGCAAGTGGCAATTACAGCTGTTGTGAGTTTGTACATTTACTTTGTGTCAGTTTGGATATTTCATTTGAGTTTGTACATTTAATTTGTGTCAGTTTGAATATTTCATGTGAGGCTTTATAAAATAAAAGGTTAATAATCCTGGGGAGTGCTAAAATTTCTTGGAGAAATATTTGACTTGGGCTGTGAAACGAACCCTGATCCCTCTTTGGTGACACACCTGAGTTGGTGTGGGTGTGTTTATGAGCCGGGAATGCTTCAGACAGGGATATTTTGCTATTTAGAAAGCCTGGGAAAGCAGCACAAGTGTCCCAAGCCGTGTTTAGCTGTGCTGTGTGTTCTGTGTGGAGCCACTGCCACCTCCTGGAGCTGGATGTGTGCAGCCACAAAGCCAGGCAGGGCTCCCAAACCTCTCCTGAGTGAGTTTTAAACCACTCCCAAAGGGCAGCTGCGAGAGACAATTAAATTACATCAGCTGCTTTCTCCTCTTCTAATCCCCTGATGTATTTTACAGAGTTTAACTCTCCAACAATTCTTTTTAAATCCCTTTAAAAAACTACAGGACACCCTGAAAAGACCAAGATTTACTTTTTCAGCTGTTTTTTATGGTGTTGCAGCAAAGACAGTTTGTTAAGGTAACTGAAATTTCTAACTGAGAGTAGGTTTCTAACTCTGATAATGTCAGCATGATTTTTTTCAGAAAGTTTGATTGATTGGGCTCTAAATTAAAAGAAATCCTTCCAGCAGGCAGCCTTATCTATTTTGCACATTGAGAGCTTCCCTGAGGCTGCCTGATGCACCCAGGGCAAGAATTATTTGAGTATCTGAGGAGGATTTGTTCAACTGCAGAAAATACAACTCAATTCAAGGTAGTTGCTCCTTGACTAAATGAAGTTTTCCTCATTGAAATCAGGTGTCTGGGGTTTGGAGCAAATGTGCTCTTGTGTGGTATTTTTTCTTTGAAATAGTGAATATTTACACAGGGCTTGTAGAGTGGCTAAAAAACTTTTGGAGGTGCCTTTTCCTTCTCTGCCTAAAAAAAAAAATCACTTAGGCTATGTAAAACGTTTAGAAATTAGAGTTTTTCCAGACTCCCTGTTGTTTTTTTTTTATATTTTATTTCTGTGATTAGGGAGACACTGACTGGTGCAGCCATTCTGCACATGGTGGGAAGAGGAGACACATCCTGTGCCCCATTATCCAGCCCTCAAAAAATAAAGGACTGAGGCTGCCTCAGGTAACAGTGGAAATGCATGTGAAGGGCATTTACAGTGATTTGAAATGTAGCAAAAATGAAAATACGTAGATCTGCCCTGTCCTTCCCAATTCCCCACCTGCCCGTGGCTCCCTTTGCTCCC